CACTTAACACTCATAACAGCTCTGTGAGGTTCTACTGCTGACTCCCCATTTCACAGATGAAGAGACCATGGCAGGGCCTCCCTGGTGGCACAAAGAGTTAAGACGCAACCTGTGAGGCTGTCTGCAGCCACTGCAGCACGAGTTCAATCCCTGGCCAGGGAGCTACCCACATGGTACAGCAAACCTCTCCTGACTCGTGTGCTGTTCCCCTCAGCAGTGTATTTCAGTTAGTCTGCCTGTTCTGTTCCCCACTCTTTCTCTGGTGAATCCTCTCACCCCCACACCTCTGGCCTGTACCCCAGTTCTTGTGTGCATAAATAAATAAATCTTAAAAAAAAAAAAAAGAAAATACCATGGCACAGAGAGGCTAAGTGGAGCAATGCCATGGTTAAGAGCTGATGAATGGTAGAGTTGCAATTTGTGCTTCTGTGATTTCCGCAGGGCTGGATCCTAACCACGGTTAACAATGCTTAATCCCCTCCAGCTGTACCTTCTACATGCCAGGCACTATACCAGAAGACTAGAATGCATCAGAGCCCCAAGCAGACAAAAATCTCTGACTTCTGCCTCCTCAACAGAGACCCAGATAATAAACAAATTAAATCACTAACACATCTGCATATTAGAACATGACCGGTGCTGAAGAATGCAAATGAAGGATGAAGGAGAGTAAGATATTCAGTGTGTAGGGAGTGGTTAAATTTTGTATCAGAGTAAACTTGAGTGAGAAAATGATGTTTGAATAAAGACATGCAGGAGCTGAAGAGGAGATAGCCATGAAAATAAGATGTAAAAGCTCTCCAGGAAGAGAGTAGGTGCAAAGGCCCTGAGGTCTGTATTATTGCAAATTGTGCTAACTGGATACATATTCCCTCCTCCCCTCAAATTGCTAAGCTTGGCAAACATTCCCATCACCCCCAATAAAGGAGCAAAGGTTCAGACATAGATTTTGAATTGTGCTGACTTTATTACAAATCCAACCATTGACCAGCACTTGACACTGTGTTGTCATGGGTCACTGATGCAGGCATCTATGTGACACCCTGGGAACACACCAGTGCCCCTTCCTGAAGAACCAGTTCACACGTCTTTTGTAGGTGATAGGGGAATGGGAGAAAGAGGCTGACACCATAGACAACCTGATTTAAAACCACTTTCATCCAAGGATTGTAACCATTTAGTTTTTATTGATTTTTCTTTTCTATTTTTAGGATGGTGGGAGCATGTTAATTAAACATTTTTGAGTGTAGCTGGTTTCTAGGGAGGGTGGCTCAAGAGTCACTGAGAGCCAAACCCTTTGTTTACTTCCCAGAAGAGGCTCCCCAGAAAGAGGGCACAGGTAGTAGCACAGGGTCCCCCTCCGGTCTGCCTAATTCTGGGCCCCATAGAGGACATCTGATCTCCAAAACTCTTCAGGCCTTCACTGCTCCCCTTGGCCTCCCACATAGCATCACCACGGGGTGGGTGAATAGTTGATGTTTTAATAAGAAATAGGAACAACCCTGCTGAGTTTGCTGGAACACAGCTCCATTAAGCAAGAGACTGTGGGAACGAGGCTGGAATCTTGGCTGACTCCACAGACCACTCCAGATGAAGTTCCATCATCGACTCCTTAGAGAACAGGGGGACTGAATGCCAGTGCTCTGCTGGCTAGGCCACCCCAAAGGCCTGAGCATCCCAGGCAAGGAGCAGAGGTAGAGACCCCCTCCTTGAGGTCTTGATAGCCTGCAGCAAAATGATGACACTTCTCCTAGGAACTATTTTTTTTTTCCGACTTTACATTTGTCTTCTAGTCTGCTTAAAGAGTCCAGCATTATTTTACTATACTCTTAACAATAACAACTAGCATTGAGCCCTATACTATCCTTGTTCTAATGTACTTTTTTTTAAATCTACACTATTACCCCCATTGTCCAGAGAACAAGGGAATTTTGAAAGCATTGTTTACTTTCCTGGAGATCAGAAGTCAGTAAGTAGCAGGAGCTGGTTTGACCCAGATCTGAACACTTTGCAACACATGCTCTTTTATTTTAACTTTATTAACTGAGATCATGTTGGTTTGCACTGGTATTTATATTTGGGGAGTATAGGATCTGCCCTTCAGGTGTCACTACCACCAAAGCCTCTGTCATCCACCACTCAATCATATTACACAGCTTACCTGTGTCAACATTCTGATATCTGAAAATGGATACCTAGTCACACACGCATATAGTGTCAGTGCTCACTTACACTTAGTGTAAGAACCTAGTTATTAACTTACCAGTCAATAGGTTCTCAGAAATTGCAACTTGAAGTGAAGCAACATAAAGAAAGCAGTTTCTCCAGTAATGGCATTTGTTTCAATTTGGGCTGGATTATTTTTTTCTCATTAATGTTATCGTGAAAGGACATTGGGTGAAGCCATGTTACTTGTGGGCCTTCTGTGTGTGTATGTGTAAACATTTACATACATGTATATATGTACTCCACAGACAACACCATTCTACACACACACACACTTGTGCTCAGCTTTCGAATGACTGGACAGAATGAAGAGGAGTTGCTATGCACTGTTGCATGGAGCTAGGTGTAGAAAAGGAAGTGGAGGCAGAAGTGTACTTATTGGGGGTGACAACCTTAACAGCCAGCACACCAAACATCTCCCAGGGAACCAGAAGAGAGGTCTGGGTTGTGTTTGCATGTGCTGTGAGCTTCTAGTGCCCACTGGTCAAAATCAAGCTGTATGCATGGTACAAACTAACTTAAAAATGCAAAGCACCTGCCATCTCTGTGGGCATGCGTGAGTCCCAGGAGCCCGTGTCAAACCCAAAGTTTGCCTGTGGGTAAGCAGAGGTCTTTGAGGTCCTTCCCACTGTCATTTCCTGCCAGACAGTGGCCTGGGCTCCAAGAACTTTCCAGCTGGGTTGGACTGGACATCTTTGTCTCATTCAAGATAGGAAAATAAGGCCACTCCAGAGGACATGTTTTGTTTTAGGTCAGCAACTCACTGTTCTTTCTCCTTTCTCTGTGGGGCCCCTATGCCTGGAAAAGTCATCCCCATGAGTCTATACTCTGTTTCTTCAGAATCACATTGAAACCCACCCACTCACTGGCCCAGCAGGATTTGTCTCCTTGGCTCAGAGTGGGGGTGTTTGTGATTTTTCCATTTTCATATATTCAGTTAACTCTAACCTTTATGCACACACTGCCCTGAGTAATCAGCTAAGGAGCATCTGCGAAGTCTTTGTTGTTAACTGAATACAGTCTGATGATGTTACTGCAGTGCATCACACAATTGGTCATCTCCCTCCTTTCTCCTCCCACCCCTGAGCTCTCAGTTACCCCATCCTCCAACAGACTCTCAGGGGAGCAGCAGCCACTCTTCTTTCATTGTCTCCCTCCTTTCTCCTTTCTGTGTGATACATTTGCTTGTCCAAGTATTTTCTAAAAACAAAGGTTCATGGACTACCCACTATATAAGTCAGGTTTGTTCTAGGCACTGAAGATATAGCTGGGAGCAAAATAGGGAATGCTGGTGGAGACACAGGCAGTAAGGAAGAGAAATAAAAGCATCTGGATGTTAGGTAGTGAGGGGGCTAAGAGAGGCCTATTGCATAGAAAATATCATGGGCATGGCAATTTCACATGGGGCGCCCCAGGGAGGCCTTGCTTTGGTGACATCTGAATAAAGATTTGCAAGGAGAGAGGGAGTGTACATGCTGGATGTACATCATCAGAGCAGAGCACCCCAGGACTAGGGGATGGTAAGTACCGAGACCCAGATGTGGGACCACCTCTGGTGAAGATGAGGAACAGGTGAGGTGTATGTTCATGGAGGGGAGGAAATGTCAGATGGCGCAAGGGGTTAAGCATCACACTGTGAAGCTAGCCGCATCTTCTGCAGCATGACTTCAATCCCCAGCCAGCCAGGGAGCTACCCACATGGCGGAGCAGACCTCTCTTGCTTCACCCGCTGCTCCCCTCAGCTTGTATTACAGTCAGTCTGCCTGTTCTGTTCCCCACTCTGTCTCTGGTGAATCCTCTTACCACCTGCACTTCTGGTCTGTGCCCCAGCTCTTGATGCATAAGTAAATAAATCTTTAAAAGAAAAAAAAAAAAAGAAAAGGGAAAAGACAATTAGGAGGATGCTGTCTGCGAGTAGGGGCTTATGGAGGATTTTAAGGACTTTGGCTTCTGCTGAGTGAGATGCTGTGGAGGATTTTGACCCAGCCTGGTTTAATTCTGATCTCTCTGCTGTCTGGAGACTAAACTGAAGGAGGGCAATGTTAGAGGCAGAAAGACCAGTTAGGAGGCTACTGTGATATTCTCGGTGAAATGTACTGGTGGCTAGGCCCACAGCCAGAGTGGTGGAGCTGGGGAAGCCATGGAATAACCTGTACACTTTGAGGGAAATAGATCAGGGATGACTCCAAGGTTCGTTGGCCCAATCAAATGGAAGAGCAGAACTGACTTTGGCCTAGATGATTCATAAGTAATATCACTTCTGTTAGCCCTATTTGTTGTCTCTCTTAGGGATTTCTAGGATCCTTTTCTTTCACCCCTCATTCATTCATCCATTGTATCTCATCAAGATTAGTGGAATAAACCTCTAATTGATCCCCCTCTTTTAATTGTTTCTTTTCCAACCATAGCACAGAGCAAGCTATGGAAAATAACTCACAGCATTTCTCCCAGAAATGCCACTCACCCCTATCACCCACTCTGTCTATAGAGAAAGACAGGATCTTCTATATGGCTTATAAGAGCTACATAATCTGGCCTCTACCTAGCTGTCCACTCTTATCTCCCAACAATCACTCCTTTGGAGTTTATGTTGCAGGAGCATCAAACAACTCAAGGCCAACTTATGCTGCCCCCGACTCCAACACATAGTGGACTATCCATCCACAGTTCAGCTATGGCCCTTGCTTTTCCATGACTTCTAGGAAAGTGACCTCATTCTTTACTTGGCCAGTCCTGCAGCCCCTTAAAGACACATCCGAGGCATCACTTTCAAGAATCTCTTTTAATCATTCCTTTACTCAATGTGTTGTATCCTTACTCTGTGAAGTTGTAGTTCATTGTATGGTCTTGATTGTCAGCTCAACAGCAAGGAGCTATTCCCAGTGTCTGGACTCTTGAGTACAGGGTCATGTCTAGTCACCTTGATAGACGGAGCTTCCAGCCCCATACTCAGTGCAAAGTCTGGCAACAACAAATAATTGAGAAATGAACGAGTCAGTAAGGATTGTCTAAACTGCAACTTTGAAGGAAACAGTACATATTGGATTCTGATATTCTGGCATTCTATAATGATAAAAGCAATATATAAAAAGTTGAGAAAACAAAAATCTATAAAATATATCTTTTGAGAATATTTTTTATTTTCCTCCTTCCCCAAGAAGTCTTAATAAATTTCCCAGGACACTTCAAAAGTGCACTTATTTGAATTCTATTTTTATAGCTGCTTACATGTAGGTTTCTAGGTGTTTCTAATGCATAAGTATATACACTTCTGGAGAGAAAGTGAGAGGAAGAGGACGAGGGGGAGAGGGGAAGAAGGGAAAAGAAAAACAAATGAGAGAGACACAAAACTTCCTCTAACAGGGAAAGTTCTTTGAGTGTGGGGTCACTCATCAATTATCTTTATTTCACACTGACTAACTTGGAATCTAAGAGAGGAACTTTCAATAAATGTTATAAACTATTGAAGGATTATCTTTCTCCTATGCAAGAGAATTTTAAGTGAATTTGAAGCAAGTCAGACGAAAGCCAGTTCAACCCTCACCTCCAGCACCATAGATTCTGTCATCCAGGTAGGGAATTTCTTTAAGAATTGTGTGCCAATAGAGTTAAAAATATACAAATATGCTTCTAACATGGAAGTAAAGCCCACAGGATGAGCTCACCACCTGTAAGTGTCTGCCTGGCCCGAAGCTCTACAGCAAACCCAACCACTGGCCTCATTAAACAGAGCCAGGGAAATCATTTTTTTTTTATTTAAATAGTTTATTTTATAAAATTCTTACATCTTTTTTCATCTTTGCACAATGTATGCATTTTCATTTTGGTTGTATTCCCCATACAATTGCACCCCCCCCCCTTATTTTGACTCTAGTCCTTCCTTTCCCCCCCAACCCCCTCATAGTATGTCTCTGGTTTATAGTTGCTTGTTGATTTTGATGTTTACTTTGTATTGATTAGTCTTTTTCCTGGTCTCTTATTTAGGTTTTCTAAATTCCTGCTATGAGTGAGACCATCTGGTATTTTCTTTTTCTTCTGACTTACTTCGCTGAGCATGATCCCTTCTAGCTCCATCTGTGTTGCTGCAAACTGCATGTGTTTATCTTTTTTGATTGCTGAGTAATATTCCATTGTGTATATGCACCACATCTTCTTGATCCAGTCATCTATTTTTGGGCATTTGGGTTGCTTCCATAGCTTAGCTATTGTAAACAGTGCTGCTATAAACATATGGGTGTAGGTGCCCTTTTGAATTACTTTTTCTGCATCATTTGTGTAAATACCTAGGAGCAGAATTGCTGGATCATATGGAAGCTCTATGTTTAGTAGTTCAAGAAATCTCCACACAGCTCTCCATAGTGGTTGGACCAGTTTGCACTCCCACCAGCAGTGCAGGAGAGTTCCTTTTTCTCCACAACCCCGCCAACATTTGTTGTTGCTAGTTTTTTTTTAATATGTGCCATTCTCACTGGTGTGAGATGGTATCTCATTGAGGTTTTGATTTGCATTTCCCTGATTACAAGTGATGTTGAACATTTTTTTATATGCCTGTTGGCCATTTGCATTTCTTCTTCAGAGAAGAAGAAGCTTTTCTGCCCATTTTTGGACTGGATTATTTTCTTTGTTTTTGTTGAGTCTCATCAGCTCTTTGTAGATTTTTGTGATTAGTCCTTTATCGTTAGTGTTGTGTGCAAAAATTTTCTCCCAGTCGGTGGGGTTTCTCTTTGTTTTGGTTATTGTCTCTTTTGCTGTGCATAAGCTCTTTAATTTGATGTAGTCCCAGCTGTTTATCTTTGCCTTCACTATCACTGCTTTGGGTGATGTGTCTGTAAAGATGTCTTTGAGGTGCATGTCATGTAGTGTTTCACCTATACTTTCTTCTATGTGTTTTATGGTTTCAGGTCTTATGTCTAGTTCTTTAATCCATTTTGAGTTGGTTTTTGTGCATGGTGTGAGGTAGTGGTCCAGCTTCATTCTTTTGCATGTAGCGACCCAGTTTTCCCAGCACCATTTATTGAACAAACTTTCTTTTCTCCAGTGCATATTCTTTGCTCCTTTGTCAAATATTAGTTGACCATAAATCTGTGGGTTTATTTCTGGATTTTCTATTCGATTCCATTGGTCTGTGTGTTTGTTCTTGTTCCAATACCATGTAGTTTTGATGATTATGGCTTTGTAGTATAGTTTGAAGTCTGGGAGTGTGATGCCTCCATTCCAGCCAGGGAAATCTTTTTAATGGGGAAAGCAATCAAGAATGTATTGGTTAGGGCCTCCCCCGTGGCGCAGCGGTTGAGCGCTGGGTTGCGAAGCTGCCCGAGGCCTCTGCAGCACTGGTTCGATCCCAGCTGCTCCCCGGCCACCGGAGGAGTGTCCCACATAGCACGCAGACCTCTCCTGCCACCCGCTGCTCCCCTCAGCAGTGTGCTTTGGTCCTTCTGCCTGTTCTGCTCCCCGCTCTGGCTCTGGTGAATTCTCTCACCCTCCCGCGCTTCTGACTGTACCCAGTGCTTGTATAAATCAATCAATCAATCTTGAATAAATAAATAAATAAATCTTTAAAAAAAAAAAGAATGTATTGGTTAGTGTGTAGACACACACACACACTCACACACACACACACATGCACATGCACACTCGTGTCTTAGGATTCTTCTAGCTGGGTCAATTCTCTGCTTTACTTAGTTATACACATCTGGGTAATGGAAGAATAAAAAGTAGTTTTAGAAAGTCCTAGTTGAGCACATAATAAAAGCTTAAGGTAAAAGACAATGAGACAGAAAGAAGTCATAGGGGATCACAAAGAAACATGACCCCCTTTGAGGGACTGATAAGGATTTTAGGAACTTCCAATTAGTCCTTGGATACTGGGCTTTTTCATGAAAACAATAGAGCGCTGAGACTGAACCATAGGAGCCTCAGGAGATAATCCATTTATGTTCTAGAGGTAAGGGGCTAGTAAGTAAAGGTACAAGCTTTGAAATTAGTATTCACACAAATTTGTAGCGGTTTTTTTTTTCTGATTTCTCTCTATCTTTACTGCTTAAAAAGTAACCTCTCTCTTTATCCCTTCCCCCCAAAAAATTATAAGCTATGACAGGTGCCTAAGGGGTCATTCAAAAGCCCCCTGGAGTGATGGTTAAGTTGAAAGTCCCTCTGCTAATGGCCAAGCAGAGGTACAAAGCCAGAAAAGTATCAATAAGTGAATAGCTCTTGTTCCCTGGAATGGAGGGGGTTGAGTGACCCCAGCGTATGCCAGGAGACTTCTGAGAGACCGTTCTAATTTTGTCATTGGAGTTAACTTCACAAGCGACTGGGCAAATTCCTAGGATTCTAGCCCACTTGGCAGAAGGAGCTAGAAGACTGTGCCTGACAATAGGGAGATGAACTGGCTCCCTACCAGGAGGAACAAATGCCAGGAGGCATGAATGGAGTGTGAGCAGAGGATGAGGACAGGGGAGGGGAGGGGTGGGGGGATGCTGATTAAGAAAAGAAGGCACGATGAAATGAGCAGAGTGCAGTTGCAGTAGTTAATAAAGATTATCAGAAGTGGGCTTTTTTTTAAAGATTTATTTATTTATACAAGAACTGGGGTACAGTCAGAGGCACAGTAGGGTGAGAGAATTCACCAGAAACAGAGCAGGGAGCAGAACAGGCAGACAGACCGAAGACACTGCAAAGGGGAGCAGCGGGCGAGACAGGAGAGGTCTGCCACGTCATGTGGGTATCTCCCTGGCTGGCTGGGAATTGAACCTGCATTGCAGAGGCTGCAGACAGTTTCACAGCACAAGGCTCAACCCACTGCACCACCGGGGAGGCTCAAGACAACCAGGTGTTTTGTAAAGAAGAGAGAAAAGAGAGCAAGACCATTCAGATTAAAACAACCTTCCTTAAAGAAATCACTCAGGCAGAGTTCAGGAAGAATAATAAAAGTGGATCTGACCATAAAACCCAGGAGAGAGAGCCAGGAGCCCTAGTTCTGGGAAAGTTCCAACTTCAAGGCAGGTTTGGGCCTGAATTGCAGATATAGGACTTAGCCATGGACTCCTCAAAGTGTGCTTGACCTAGGAATCCTGGCTGATTTTATTTCTCAGCTTTGTAAATATGGGATGTGGGAGAAATGTGAGCAGCAGAGATTATGATCTCTGGATCTGGATAAATATGAACACCTCCTTACTTACCATGGGATGATGATGACCTAAACACAGTGCTTTTGGGGGGATTCTGATCATTTCGCCACTGGCATGAACTCCACAGAAAAGGCTCTGCAAATCTCCGTGGTGCTAACTATGCGGCACTGACCCATTGTCCTATGGGTCTCTGCAGAAGAACTCAGCCAATCATCACACAGTATTCTGACTCAGGCAAGAAACTTCCATTTCCTTGAGACTTCAGTGTCTCCCAGCTCTTGTTTTTCTTCATATTGGCTTTATTTTATTTTACTTTTTTTATTGAAGTGATATTGGTTTATAACATTATATAGGTTCCAGGTGTGCATCACTATATAAATCAGTATCTTTATATACTGCATTATATTCACCACTGAAAGTCTAATTCCATCTTTCGCCGCACAATGGACACATTTTATCTGGTTTACCTGCCCACCATCATCTTTCGTTAATGGTAACCACTAATTTAGTCTTGTGGTCTAAAAGTTTATTTTTGTTTTATTCGTTCTTTTTTGTTCATTTGTTTTTCTATCTACCACATCTGAGTGAAATCATACAGTGTTTTTCTTTCTCTGACTTATTTCACTGATCATAATGTCCTCTAGGTCCAGCCCTGTTGTTGCAAATGGTAGGATCTTATCTTCTTCATAACTGAGTAGTATTCCAGGGTCCATATATGCCACCTCTTTAATCGTCTGTTGATGGGCACTTAGGTTGTTTGCAGCTTTTGGATATTGTAAATAATGCTGCAGTGAACATGGATATGAAAATATCTCTTCAAATTTCCTCCCTTCCACCCTCTCCAAATTTTTTTTCTTTATTCAATAAGCAGGGTGAGCACTGCCTCTTCCTTGAGGATTAATTGATAGTTCAACCCTAGCAATATGCCAATGTGGCTCAGAGTCTAAATCACATCACACAGAGCCAGATTGTATATGCCACCTTGTTCAGATCTGGCATGAGCAATCAATAATGCTTTAAGTGAGTTACTTATTCTTTCTTGTCCCAATTTCTCATCTTCTGAGAGGGTGTCAACAAATCTACACTTAAACATGCATTGGGTTGGTGGCTAAGTTTCTAATGATTCTCTCAGTGGTCAAACCACCTTTCACTCCTTCTTTTGAGAGAATACTCATTCCCCCCTCCCACCTTTTAATCTTCTGTGTGTTCTGGATAGGAGTGGCAATTTTTGTGTGGCCTTCTTTGGCTAGTCAGGGTGTTTAGTCTAAGGCTGGGCCCTTGACAGAAGTTAAGCAAATGTTCTTACTAAGACAGGTCTTAGAGCCAGAGGAGGAGTCAGTGACTCTGATGTGAGGATGTGAGGATATAAGTCAAGCATTGCCAGGTTTCTCTGTCTCCACCTTGTGAAGAAAAACAGTGCATAGTAGATAAGAGTGAAACTGACATGGAGAGTAGAACAGGAAGGAGAGGGGGTGGTATGGTGTGTGGGGAGAAGGAGAGGGAGGAAGGGAGAGAGAAAGAGAGAGAGAGAGAGAGAGATACAGGAAAAAGGAAAGGGAGAGGGAGAATTCTTACTCTCTTTAGAGAATGAAATTAAATGAGAGAAAGGAGGGAGGGGGAGGGAATGTGAGGATGACAGGAAGTCTTTAGTGTTCACATCTCTGGTTCTAGTCCCCCTGGTCTTGGTATGCACCTGGCTAGCTTTGATTTTAAGTGCTCCTTGTGTACAATTCTTCTCCTTACCTAAGTTTATTTCTTAGAACTTGACTACCTGGCTGGGCAATTCTAACACTGACACATATAACGCATGCTGAATGCTTGTCACATTGGCTAGCTTATAGTTTAAGCAGGCTAAATATGCTAGCTGCTTTATCCTTGTTGCTCACCTTTGTAGGAAGTTGTAGGTCATGGTGGTTTTGTTCCAGATGTCATTTTCTTGCGTTCCAATTGTAGATTTACCACCTGTATCTATTTGACCTTGGACACATTATTTCTTTGTATCTTTATAGTCTTGTCTATGAAAGGGAGGTTGCAGTGAGAATTGAGAGCTTAATATTTGCCAAGTCCTTAGTATACAAACTATTATTATCATTCTTATCTAAACTTTCAGTTTGCATGGCCACCTCCCCTAGTAAATAGGATCAAAACTGTCTTAATTGCAGTGTCTTTGTCTTCAAATTGGCATATCTGATATCACATATAAAACACATAGCAGGCTTTCATAAATGCTGAATAAAAGACTGCAAGAATGTTCTTTTTATAAAATGCTCTGTAACTAATGTAGATAAGATTTCTCCTGCAAGTTGGATCCTTCACAAGGACAGGTGACAGGGACAGGGCTAAAGGCATGGTATGAAGTGTACGGACATCCTTTAGGCAACATCTCAAGAGCAAAAAGGCATGAACTGAAGGCACTTCTGAGTCCTTGCCTCTTTGCCTTTCTGAAGCTTCTCTAGCAAATCTTCCAGAACAAACGGGTAAAGCTATGTGGTGATGACAGAGCTACTTTGTCCCATTCTCCAAAGCATTGGCCTTTGGATGCTAAGTGGAGCTGTTCTTAGATTTGTCTCCAGCAAGCGCTTTGCAAAATACTTAGGGACCCTTTGAGGTGACAATCATTGGAGAACCCTAGGGTGATCTTACTCTGTAGGGCATTTATGAGATTATCTTCTTGCCCACCGGGGACTGTCAGTCATGGCGACTCAGAGCAGCTGTGGCAATGGAAGGAAGATGAAAAAACTCACCGTTTCACGCTGCCTTGATGCCATCAATGAGTGCAGCGTCTATCTGCAGCTGATTTCATCTAATGTGATAACACTCATGATAATAAATATTGTTAAAAATAAAAGTCACTCTGGGGATTGAGAATCACTGGGACAGGTGTTCAGAATGAGTAGAGTGCAGTAATTGGGTGACTTATTCATTATTGGAAATGCCGTTTAAAATCTATTGCATTTAAAAAAACAATACTTCAGCTGCTCTCTGGCCTTCCAAAGTCATTAGCTGGTGTTCTTTATCTGTTTGTTTTCCTCACTGAAGTGAGGTTTTTAATGTCATAGAAGAACCAACTTGACTCCGTGCCAACATTTCAGTGAATGATGAAGCCTTCTGAGGCTCACATCACTCCACACCATGTTTTTCCTCTTTAGAGCAGACAGAGGAGGGGGAAGCAGGGAGGGAGGTGGCTTTCTAATTCTTGCTTGACAACAAAGACCATGGAGTCAGGAGTGAGGCCATGGTTTTCTCCAGGCTACATAGTCAAACCATTAAAAAACTTTGAGGGAGAATATTTGTGTCCCAAATCCCAAGCTATTGTTGCTGATCTGCAAAGCAACAGTACCTGCTTCCAACAGTACCTTGTCTGGCACACATATTTATGGCAACTAGGAAGGCTGTCCCATGGTGCTGGTGGTCCCACCTGGAAACTGGAGCTGCCAAGGTCCCAATGCAAGCAACAAGCAATTCACACCAGGTAACAAGTTTCAGATTGTACCTGAGGTTGGATTGGAAACATGCATTCATATTCTTTTTAAAACATTATTTCCAGATTCAACATGAATTTTCCAGGATTTGAAATTCTAAGGTGTGCTGTTGTCCTTTGGAGGAATCCTCATGTCATATTGCATGCAGAAAATTAGATTTGAGGGCTTCCCTGATGGCCTAGGGGTTAAGTCTCAGCACTATCACTGCAAGGGCCCACCACAGCGACCTGAGTTCAATCCCCAGCCAGAAAGCTAACACATATATGGAGCAACAGACCTCTCCTGTTTTGCCTGCTGCTCCCCTCAGCAGTGTATTTCAGTAAATCTGCCTGCTCTGCTCCCCACTCTGTCTCTGGTGAGTCCTTGCAACCCCCTGTACCTCTAGCCTATACCCCAGTTCTTCTACACAAAAATAAATAAAAATATTTAATAAAAAAAGAAGAAAATTAGATTTGATACTTTGCTTCAGCCTGAAAGATTTGTTTATTTTCTGCAGGGATAACCTATTTTGTTCCTGTTGAATTTAGTCTTATGAGGTGGCCTCTCCAGGGTTTCTCTGAATATCAAGGGGAAATCTGTCCTTGAGTAAGGAATCATACAGGTACTTTCCCCCTATTTTGACCCTGCATACAGTTATCTGAGGAAGTCTTGAGCCAAAGCTTCACTATTTCAACTGCTGAAGACCAATTCTTTGGAGGATTTCCTCATCAGCCTATTTCTGGTAGAGTAGGGGGGAACAGGGTGAGAAACAGGTATAAAGTTCCCCCATCCTTTGAAGAGAGTAGGTGGAACAATTCTCAATGACATACTAAGCACCCAAGAATTGTTGAAGATAAATAAGAAAGTACCTCTCTTTCTAATCAGCTCCCGAAACAAGACAGCATGCTGAAGATTGAGGACCAAAAGATCAAAGAGCAGAGTTTCTGACTCTGGGAATTGTAGGTATGTCATAAGGAAGTTTAGGTTCTGGAGATGTAGCACAATGGACCAACCTCAACATGATCAGATACCGGTTAGGGAATGAGTTGTAGGTTTGAAACCAGGAGGTCTGGGTTCTATGCTCCCCTCCCCTCATTTCTGCTTGATTTATATTCACCCTTCAAAACTATGGATCATATTTCTTTAGGAAGAATTTTCTAGAAAAATCCTGGTCTAGCTTAAATCTTCCATGTGTTTCTCCTATGACATTTACTACTAAATTATAATTAAATAGATATTTTTCTGTTTGTGTACAGGGGGTCTCCCCTAAGAGATGAGAAGCATTAGGCAGGCAGCAATCATGTGACTATACCAACTACACCCCCAGACTTAGCACAGTGCCTGGTATAAAGTAGACAGCTTTCAGTATTTGAGACTCAATTTGTGTTTTTTTTAAAGATTTATTTATTTATGCATACAAGAGCTGGGGTATAGGCCAGAGATGCGGGGGTGAGAGGATCCACCAGAGAGCAGAACAGGCAGAAGGACAGAACTACACTGCTGAGGGGAGCAGCGGGCGGGACAGGAGAGGTCTGCCGTGCCATGTGGGAATCTCCCTGGCCGGCCAGGAATCGAACCAGTACTGTAGAGGCTGCAGACAGCTTCACAATGCTGCGCTCAAGCCGCTGTGCCACCAGGGAGGCCCAGAGACTCAATTTGAACCTCTATTTGTCGGGAACAATGCCAAAATGATTCTAAATATGAAAAAAAATAAACACTCTTAGTGCCATAAAGAAAATTTTTCAGGCCTTTAATTCATCCCACAGGGAGAGAACTTTGCCTTCAATGGAAGTTACTGCTTTACTGATGACAACACTATAGGAAAAGCAACACAGAATGCTTGGGGAAATAGCAAATACATGTCCTTTTTAAGTAAACACCTTCTTTTCCTATATTTCAATTTTTCCCACTTTCTCCAGTTTAGGGTTACCTAAAGAGGAAATACAGGTCCCACCCTGCTCCTTCCTTGGCTCAGCCAAAGCCCTACAAAGCAAGGCAAAGCAGAGAGAGCCAGTGAGCTTCCCGTCACGGATCAGCTTGTAGGGCCAGGAACTCCCAACTGGCTGCTGCACAATGTCTGGGATATACCAAAGAAGTAAATTAAATGCATTAATCTCAGTAAGAATCACCATTGAGGCATTCAGGGCTGCACAGAAATTTCCAACAATTGGCCCCATTTGCTTCAATAACAAATAAAGAAAAGGAGGGGGAGGGAGAGTTTGGGTGGGAATGGGCGGCTTTTTTCTGCTCTCCTCCAGACAGGTAATCAAAATGAAGTTCCACATTGAGCCTATACATTTCATTTTATTCTTCAAAGCAAACACATTTGGCCCCTTCTCCTGTAATAAGGCAAATCCTTTATCTGTTATTCATTTAAGAACATAAAGATGATGCTGGTGACACCAAGACACTGTAAGCTTCATTTCAGCCTCCTCTCAACATAAAAAAGCAAATTTATTCTGGTTAAGATAGTTTTATGCCAGGTACATGACATTCACTCTCTGGAAGCCATGGAGCCTGCAGCCTCTATGGATCTGTTTGTGTTTTTATTCCTATTTTTCAATCACGTTACTTCTATTCATGGGAATATTTCCATTCATGCTGCATGACTTGGGAAACTCTCTCCTCCCAAGTCAGCCAACAAGGTTGACTGGGCATTTTGTAGGAATTGAGAGGAAGTTCAGCATACATCCCACCCTAAAGTGCCTGATTTGGGTATTTGTTTTTAATGGGACATGAAATGGGGGGGAAAAACACATGACCAGTAGTCAGAAAGGTTGAGCTCAGGCATCTTTGGGCACAAAACTGGTACAGAAGGGAGTCAAGCTTGGGCCCAGGCCCACTGAGTTAGAAGCCTGAGGTCATCACTGCTTCTGGGCCTGAATTATCCTCCGAGGGAGCTGATCTTTTTTTGCTGATATCTAGCAATGTTTCTCTCCCAGGTTTTTGGCATAGAATCAACTCAGAAAATACCAGTACATTGAAATTATAAAAATAATAGTAAAGTAATATATTATTATTATTTTCATAAGTTAAAAATGATTTGAACTTGGGCCTCCCCGGTGGCGCAGTGGTTGAGCGCTGGGTTGCGAAGCTGCCCGCAGCCTCTGCAGTGCCGGTTCGATTCCCGGCCACTGGAGAGGATACCACATGGTGCGCAGACCACTCCTGCCGCCCGCTGCTCCCCTCAACAGTGTACTTCATTGATCTGCCTGTTCTGCTCTCCACTCTGGCTCTGGTGAGTTCTCTCACCCTCCCGCGCTTCTGACTGCACCCAGTGCTTGTATGAATAAATAAAATAAATCTTAAAAAAAAAAATGATTTGAACTTACTAATCCAGATATTGGAAAAAAAAAAAAACATTCCACTGACATAACTTTTTCATTTTTTTCTCAGGATATTGTAACAGAATACATTGTTTTGGGTATGTTGGGCACTTTCCCCAAAAGAATTTATGTGACACACTAAGAGTCTGGGAAAAAAAAAAAAAATGATCCATAGCCAGGAAATTAGGACTTCTGAGGTGGAGAAGAGTATAAAATGAAGGGTGGATGAGGAAATTTTCTCTCTAGCCAGAGGTCGGTTCTGGACCCACAGTATAGACAGGAAGAAGGAAGCAACTGCACTGGGTTAGCGTGAGCTTCTTCACATCCTAGGGAGGCAGAAATGACACAGGAGAGTTGACCTAGTAATGACCCTTGGGTTATTCTTGGTGCTCTGAGCCCTCATTCTGTCACCTTGGCCCTTACTGTCCCCATACATGTTCACAGGATTCTGTGGCAACCTGTGCTTTTTCCACCTGAGGGTTTTCTCTTGGCTGTTTGGAAATGACTTACTGTGAATGCCAAGAAGTTAATGCACGTAGGAGAAGTTCATTCTCCTCAAACAATGTGAATGGAAATGGGAGGATAAATACAGTAGCTTCTTTGCCTCAGTGATGGAACAACTGAGAATGTTCTAAAAGGTCCTCACACAGATGAGCCCAGAGGCCCTGGGCCCAAGATCCTGCTGGATAACATGGCTCTTATCAGACATCTTGCTGCTGTCTCTCCCATTCTTTTTCCAGTGCTCCCTATATAAAGTATTTGCACTCAGGGCCTCCCTGGTGGCACAAGGGGTTAAGCACCGCACTATGAAGCAATCTGCAGCCCCTGCAATTTCGATCTCCAGCTGGCTAGGGAGCAACCCACATGGTGCAGTAGACCTCTCTTGCTTCACCCGCTGCTCCCCTCAGCAGTGTATTTTGGTCAGTCTGCCCACTCTGACTCTGGTGAATCCTCTCACCCCCCACACCTCTGGCCTATACCCCAGCTCTTGTATGCATAAATAAATAAATATTTTTTTAAAAAAAAGTTTTGCACTCAAATTATTATTTCGGGTCTCTTTCTGGAGAAGCCCATCCTAAGGCACAGATTACCCTTGTGGTAAAGTGGAGTCCCCAAACCAGCAGTGGCAAGGGCTGCAGGAGGTTGGTAGGAAGAAGTAACTTTAACCTTCTGCTTTTGCTTCTGGCTGTCGGCAAAATGGAACTTTCTGAAGAAACTAACATCCAGACTAGGATTCTGGGTTCCACTGGTACTAACAGTAAATCTCTCCTAATGAAAAGAGGTGTCCAGCGGCCCTATAGGGCAATGGACATAATTCCAGAAGGAGGTACCTATAGGGACAGACAACATACCTGGATGTCCTTCTGACATGGGAATATTTGTTTTCAAAACTATTTTTCTGTTAGCACCCATGTGATCTAACAGTATGTGTACTCTAAAATTATGCAGCTGGATATAAAAGATTCTTAGTAATAGTAGTGATGTAGCTATGTTTTTTAAATCTCATACTCATTGCATGGAATAGTTGTTTTCCCCAATGAAAAAGAAAGAATAGGTTTGGAGGAGGACGGATCATGGATCCGAAAAGTGAAATTCTTCTAAGGCTTTGCTTCTCACTAACCCTGATGCTCTGAAGAGGAGCTGCAACACTTGGATTTTAATTCAGTCCATTAATAAATGAATTATGCAATTAGTTGATATACAATTAACTAGATTCACAACGCATGCAGAGCTAACTGGGTCAGCCTGCATCTGTATGGCTGTAATGTGCCTAAATGAATATGCCATCAAAGGACATGCAGTGGAATGGGGAATCAGATTTGTCTGAGGCAGGAAATCGTGCCTGCCAGCTGCAGAAAGTGCTGCAGATAAAGCCTTGGCCTGAATTGGCAGGAGAAACAAAAGCATCACAATGTAGCACCCCAAGTGGCACTCTCTCTGTTGTAGCAGCATTGTTCTCCCCAGATGAGCTTGGACAGAGATCAGTAAATCCAGAATCCTTCTGGGCAGAAGGGATGAGCAATTGGATTTGGACTGGGATCTTTCAATCAATCACTCGCCAAAAGTGGTCCTGGCAGCACAAGATGAAAACCTCTTAGAGCAATAGAGCCATTCCCTGGGATCTGCAATTTTGACTGACCCAGATGCAAAGTCAATCAAAATACTCAATCCTGTGATATCTAATTCCTGCTGGAAAATGTAAGCCAATAAAACATTCAGTAGCGGTTTGGGGGTGTGACCAATCAATCCATGTCCAGGAATTTGTCTTACAGTCAACGCTTTTGGTGATCAAGTTAAGATGGCTACAGAAGCTCACCAATATCTGTGACCAAAGATGATGTGAGTGAATGAGTATGCACACGCACGCATGTGTATGTCTACCCTGCAGGGAGAGAGGAAAATTAAGGATAATCTAAATTAATTTGACTTGGTTTTATTTTTTAAATAAAGGATTTGGGATCCTTTATTTGGGATCCCCAAGAACTTTGAATTTAAATCTGTATCTTAATAAGATGCCCACATGATCCACTTGTACATCCTGGTTCTGTCTGAGAAGCATGGCTCTAAAGCACTCCACATTCAGAGGAAAGTCGTAGAAATGAAACTGGACATTAAGAGCT